AGAACTCAAAGACCTTAAAGCATTGGCCAACTTAATTGGTGGCATATATATTAATATTGGTAAATATTACATAGAAGGCCTGAATAATGGAGAAGATGAATACTTGAAGAGCATGAAGTATATCACGGAAGTAAACATTGGTTTTGATTTTGACAGTGATGCTGATAAAGATCGTGACCTTGAAGTTATGATGGAAAAGCTAGAGCCACATTCAAATATCAAGAGGTTCATCTTGAATTATTATAGGGGTACGATCATTCCAAGATGGGGAAGAGAAGAGGATAATTGGGCTATCTCTCTCCCAAATCTTGTTCATATCAAGCTTGTAAGTTGTAAGAAATTGGAGCAGTTACCGTCTCTGAGTACACTGCGTTACCTGAAATCATTGGTGCTTTGTAAATTATCAAAGCTGGAGTATATAGATAATAAAAGCAGCAACACTGGCAGTGGTGTTGGAGAAGATTTGACAACATTCTTCCCCTTTCTTGAATCTCTTATAATTCAAAGCCTGCCAAATTTGAAAGGATGATGGAGGGGGGAGGAGTTGATTGCGGATGAGAATGATCATACCTTGAGGAGTAGGCTCACATTTCCCCGGCTTTCAAATTTGGAAATCACCTATTGTTGTAACCTGGTGTCATTTCCTTCCTGTTCAAGCCTTGAATATTTGAAATTATGTGAAGACTTTGAAATCCAATTCAAAACTTAAAGACAGGCTTTGAATTTTCAACAGATTGTAATTTTGCGAGATAAACTAAAATAAAGTAAGTATGAGAAAGCAAAATTAAATGAGACAAGACACAACAAATTGTTACACGAAGTTCGGCAATGAATATGCCTACGTCTCCGCCTAGGGTTATCCAGCTCGTAGGATTTTAAATCTTTTTACTTCCTCCGTCCTTTAGAGACCTAAAGCAACCTAGGAGATCAACCTATCTTCTTTCTGCAGCCGTCCAGCTACACTTTAGCGTCTCAGATCCTAGAAATAAAAAGCCTTCTCACTTTTACTATACTTTGAGTATTATAGATTTACAACTCTTGCTTATGTAAGATCTTATGCTTGATAATTCTTGTGTGTTGTTATTTTCTTCAATACACTTGCACCCTTTATATAGGAGTTGTAGAGCTGGAACAGCTTTTTGAATTTTGAAGCTAGCCGTTTAATTCTTCAACATTGTTTGAATTCTTCAACGTACACTAGTTGTTAGGCTTCAAAACTAACGTTCAAAGGCAGCAAAGATTCCAGCCTTATTTCAAGGGAACTGAAAAACAAATTTGAATCTAGAAGCAAGTTTGTTAGTATTAGATAACCATGCAACATATAGATTCAAATTCAAAACAGCAATATCCCTTATCTTTAGTAATCTGCAAAACAGATTTTGTTTGTGAAAGATAAACGTTTAAACTTTAAGATAAACATTAGCTTCACAAATATATCCAAAATAGTCAGATAAACATTTAAACTTCAGATAATTATAACAGAATATATTAGATACTTAATTGACCAGAATGGACTTAACAACGTCCAGCCCAAAGCACATCAAACACTAGACTTCAAGATATTAAGTATGCACTTTGACATACATATTGTGGGCTTAATAAAAGTATATCAATTCGTTGCAGAGCCCAATATAAAAACGGTACCTGTGTTAGCACATTTGGAGTTTGCCTTCAATCATAAAAGTAAACAAAAATATTATATCATCAAGGTGGACTCTTCAAGTTCAGTAAAAATAATACAAGTTCAGCAAAATTAGTTTAAGTTTATTAAAAATAATTTCAGTTCAACAAAAATATGGCGAAGTGAACAGGGTCCAACTCTAACTCTAAAGAAGAAATATAATAGAGAATCAGTAAAAATAATTTCAGTTTAGTAAAAATAATTTCAGTTCAATAAAAATAATTTAAATTCAGCAAAAATAATTTCAGTTCACTAAAAATAATTTCACTTCAGCAAAAATAAGGTAAAGTAAACGAGGCCTAACTTGTCATGCTATGTTCAAAGGATGGTACACTTATGATTTCCAAAAGTGTCTCCAACCATGTTGTTGGCACCAGTTTTGCAAGATAGATTTGCATACCATTGTTGTTGAGTGTAAAAAATTAAATCAGTGCTACTATGCTACTATTTTTTTCCGAAACAAATGGTATGGTATGGAGTAGTCCATAATAAATAGTCGTAAGTGTCAGTGTTGAAGCTTAAGAGTTTTGATGATGATGAATAAAAGCAATGTTTGATTAGAACAGGTGAAGTTGACTTTGGAAGTGGAAGAGTAACCTATCTATGAAGACTCAAGGAGATCTAAAGGAACGTTAAAGAAAGTAGAAGAAGAGTTCCTCACTGGAACTAACTGTGATCCCTAACATGAACACGAAGAGAAGTTTCCTATCAGGAGCTTGACAGCAAGCTAAGAAGATTAGTTTGGTCAGCATTGAAGACAACAAGTTCCATAAGAACTTGACCTGCGAGTTCCAGCAAGTAGCTACAGAGTTGAAGACAACAGGAACTTAGTCCTGGTGCGTAAAGCCCAAGTATCCTTACAATACAGCGATTGATGAGACAATCCAGCTATAGAATAAAAGTATTTTGTTTAGTTTATTTTACTAAGGATTGTTGTAAATATGTTAGTTTAGTTTATACATGAAATCTATTAGAAGTGTGGCAAAGCTTGGAAAGCTATTAAATATGAAAATTTATAAAAGATAAGCTTAATTTTATGCAACGATTTTTGAAATATTTTATCTTATAAAATCCGGTTTTACAAAATATTATTCTTTTCCAAAATTATATCTTTGTTAAGTTTTCCAAAAGATTTTATTCTACAAGATCGTTGTAATTATAATAACGGTAGTTTTAATAATTTCTATCTTTCGAAAGGAAAACCCTACATATGAGTACAACTTGTATATAAAGTAGAATTCATAATTTGCACAACGTGTGAGTTTATGCGTGAAAAATTTGAAGAGTGTGAAAAGTGTAAGTTTGCCAAGTCTAAACTTTGTCATATTAGTTTCGGATTTCATGTGTAGCTTTTCAATCACATATTAGAGTCAAGTGTTTGTATTATTTTGGTAATGGGGTGAGTGTTTAGCATATTGCATAGAATTAGTTGGCTTCAAGGTTGAAGCTAAGTGCGAGAGTACTCCGGTAGTGCTTAGTGAATCTAAGTCAGGGACTTAGGTTGTGTAGGATAGGGTCCTATCGAGTAGTAAGTTCAACCGGGAACTTGTGAGAAAGGTCTGTTTGTAATAAGTTGTAACTAGAAGTGTTTGGCTTATTATAGTGGATTGATTTGGTGTTTGAAATCCCTTGGAAGGTCGAGGTTTTACTTCCACCTGGCCTGGAAGGTTTCCTCGTAAAATCTTGTGTGCATTGCAAGTTCCTTTATCATTCTATTTTATTTCCGCAAAAGTAGTCACTAGGAACAATTCACCACCCCCCTCTTGTAGTGTTCGTCTCAATAAACAGTCAGCTTGTTTAATTTATCAGTCTAGTTAACCACTGCTCTTACCATCAAGAAAATGTGAAATGTAAAATTTTAAACACTTTACCTAATTTATTTTAGGTGACAAACCTGTGATTAAAGTAGAAGGTGATTTTTTGTCAAAAGGTTAGTCTGTTATTTCACTTCTGCACATGTCTTTTCTTCTGTATTGTATCTCATTTAGCAATAACAGTTTATTTGTAGCATAAATTTGAACAAGCGTAATTACACCTGGCCTTTATGTATCTTAAGTTTCTTAACTGAATACGAGATAAATATAGTAGTGATAAATATTGTTCTTTAGTTCATTTAGCAACTATTTGGTCTTTCACGGATTTAGACTTAGCCCGCGCCATTAGTCCTGATTTTCCTTCTATCGCATCATCGCATGTCTGTTTCTCATAATTTGTAATGTATGCTTGAAATTTGTTCACACTATTTCTCTGCACAAATGAGCATATGCTACTTGAAATGTTAATAGATTATTCAATTATGTGCTTCTACTTCATAGTTACGAATGAAGTATATCATTAACTTTTATGTCTTCCAGGATGTCTATTTAGGCAGTGTCTCAAAAAAGTCGACACTTCCTCTTGAAGTCTACAAGGAGGTGAGGTTGCTTCTGTGCTCTTTTTTTTTTTATTTTAGTGTAAAAACACGAGGCTTTAAGCCTATTTTATAACCAATGAACAAATTTTTACTAGTACCTCCAGTTCTTGTTACTTGCAACAATTACCAAAAACAGATGTGGGTAGACACCTGATTGTGTCTCCCCAGGCCAAAAACCAAACCCAGTGATGAGTACCTTTCACGTCTTTGATTATCGAGGTAGGTGAAGAGTTGAAGAGTCCCGTGAATTTCCTTTAGCCTTGACCATTTATAACCTTTCCTTAAATGTTTTAATCCAAAATCATTTATTTCGTGCTTATAAAGTATAAATCCAAAATCATTCATTTCGTGTCCTTAAAATCATTCATCATTTCGTGTCCTCTTTATAAAAACGTCCAAACCTGATTATTTTGGTCCATAATCTGGGTCCAATAATTGTGTAATTGGTTGGGGTTTGAAAAGAGCTTTCCAACGATAATTATAAGCCCAAATCCGAGTTATAACGAGGAAGTTATGACCAAAATACTAAACTGAGCCCAAACCAAATCTTACCTACGAACCAATGACCATGTGGAGGATAAGTTCATGAAAGTTGATTTTAATGAAAAGTTTGTAAAACTTTCAATAATTGAGATTACACAAGTGGTTGTGTACTCTGTAGTGCGGGTGACTAAGTGCCATGAAGCTGCGATGCCTTGTCTAATCGGAGCCCCACTCTACAATCAATCATGCTTCTTTCCACATTTCACTTGCCATTGTCGTAGCTTAATCACAAAAAGTCAATTTTTATTTTTTATTTTTTTTTGTCAAAATGTTTCATTTATTTAAAAACAGAGAGAGTACGTAAATTTTAGGTTATATATTCGTATGATATATATAATATGAATATCTTTTTAATAATAAATCTGCTTAATTTTCTATAAGTAGTTGCTAAAAGACTAACTATCATATTGGGAGGAAAAGATTACATTACATCGAAATTATATTTTTCATAGGAAAAAAAAATATTATGGTGAATTAAATATTTTCTAAGATGATTTGACAAAAAAAAAAAAAATGTTTTAAACGGGAAAATTTTAAACCATAAATTGACACCTGTTAATTTTTGTTCACCTTTAGAATATAGTTATAGTTATAGTTATAGTTTAGAGTCATTGAGCATAATACGTTTCCAAAAATTATTTTAATTTTACATTCCACCTATCTTTAAATTATTAATTTTTCTGTTGGAATTTCTCTTTTGTTAATGTAACAAAAATACAAAATCTATCTACCCCTTCTTTAAATATGAGAACTTTAGCTACTGTTGAAAATGAATAGTGTCTGTTTTGCCCTTCCTCTTCTCTCTACATGAACACTGAAATGGCTTCCCTCTCATTTTCTCTCCTTTCCCTCTGCTTTCCCTGTACACACATGGCTACAATCCCTTTTCTTTTTCCCCTATTCTCTTTCTCTCTTCTATACCTATTCTCTTTCTCTCTCCTCCATGAGCAGCGTACTCTGAGCTTTCTTTCTCTTCTTGATTTCTTGTTTTCCCTCTTCATTCCCTTTCATTTCTACTTTGACTGATCTTAATTTGATACTTTGTGGTTAAATTTTGATTTCGCAACTTCATACTTTGTGGGTTAGGGTTTTCTTTTTCCGATTGAACAATTTTTCCATTGCTGTAGATGAACTTAGCTTTAGTGTTTTCTCGAATTTACAAGATAGCTGCCATTTTTGTAAAGCACTATCTTTGCATGTATGCTGATCTTGCTCGTTGACCTAACTTTCCTTTTTTGGCGTTTTGGATCAGGCGGAGGAGGAAATCGCCGCCGCCGGTTATGGTGGTGGTGGGTTTAAGGTGAGATTTGGGGCTGATTATGATGTGGAATTTGGGGGTAATTCTCTCTTCTCCATTGAAGGCTTGAAGCACGTACTCTGAATTCTCCATTGGTGCGGCTTCGGAACTGTCTCATCAGTTGAACAACTTCTGAGGTAAGATCTTTCTTCTTCTATGTTCGTCTTCCAATTCCTGTGCATACTTGAATTCTCCATTGAAGGTTCGTTAGATCACTCTTTTTTTTTTTTTTTTTTAAATGTTTAATGTAAACCTTCTTTTCCCAGTAATCTGTGTGCCTCAAATGAATTGATATATTTTGACTTCTAACTCACTGCGATCAATTTGTGCTTCTATAAAATCTATTGCGTTATCAATCACTTGTGTTAATATTATAATACATGACACAGGATTTAAGAAAATGGTTACCCATTATCCTTCAGCTGCAATTTCCTGCACCGAAGTTGCACCTTATGCTGCACAAGTTTCGCAAGTAACAGTTGGTGATTCACGATATACTTATTCAGAATCTGCGATGCTTGGCCTAAAAAAAATTACATATTGTAAGTAAACAAAAATCTGTTTGAATTACTTTATACAGTATATGGGCTTTACAGGTGTCAAACTTTGTTTCTTGTTTACCTTTGCCTCTCTTACATATACCTCTGTATTGTCAAATGTTAAGGTTGCTTTAATAATGTTTGATTTTCAAATCAGTCAGCTCAATTAATGGAGGTTTTTCTTGAAATTGCTCGTAACAACACCAACAAGGATCTCGAGAGATGTGGGGTTCTTGGTGCTTCCCTTGTAGGATTCTTTTCTATTTCTTTTGTCTGTTTAATCTTAGTTGAAATTATATGCTTCAAGGACCTTTACTTCATTGTTACCATTAAGTGCTGCTCATCATCATAATCCATTAATCTTTGTTGGCTTGTGTACAAACTCCCTGTTAGCCTCTGTCCTTAAATATTTTGTAATCTTTCCTTTTTGGGATTTTGCATAATAAGTTTTACATTTTCTCTTGTATATATATCAACGCATCCCCTTTTACTTACTCTCTCTCTCTTTTTTTTATTTTTTTATTTTTTTTTAAAATTATTATATATATTTGTTTTACTTACTTAAAAATTCTAACATCACCATGGCAACCCAAAGTTTGAAGGTTGTTGACAAAGCTTGCTGGTTTATTTTTGCTGTAAAAAATAAATCTAATATCATTCGCTAATACCAAGCCAGCATTTTTGCATTAAGCCTGCTTTCTAGGATTATCTCCTTCATTTAAATTAGGGATATATATTAGCATTTTTGCATTAAGCCTACTTTCTAGAAAACAAATTTTTTGGAATTTAGAATTTTGAGTAAAGAGAGGAAAAATTAGGGATGCTGATGTTGATGAGGTCGGACAAAATGTCTACCTCTGCTACTCGCGTTGGCAGGGAAGCTTCTATATGAATTAATAAGAATACTACTGTTCTAATTCCGATTGTTTTTTTTTTTTTTTAATTGTTCAATTTATTTTATTTTTCATCAATTACTTCATTCTCTATCCTGTATTTTTCCTTTTCATTTTGTGATGCTTTTAACTTCTTCAGGACATCTGCAAAACCTTAGATATGATGAGTGAGATTGCAGTAGAAATGGAGAGACTTAATGCATCTCAAGAGATAATTTCTCCCCCAAAAAAACATTAATTTTGCCAAATTTTACTCTTCAATTCATTTTTTCCAATTTTTTTTTCAAATTGTTCACTTCACTGGTTTCCTTTTTGGTTTTTTTTTTACCCCAATCGAATTTTTTGTAAAATACTAATTTGATTTTACATTATGTTAAATTCAATCAGATTTGACATTGCATTTAATTATATCTTGCTATGACATTGCTATTTGGAATACGATATGCCGGGATCATATTTGAGGAATCTCTGGCTTTTAATAAGAGTGGAGTAGGTTTATCATGGCTGTAAGCTTGTGGGCTGTAAAAAGCATAGGGGTCAGTTTTTCTTTACTTGCGGAATTCCCTGGCAGTGTAATCTTTCTTCCTGGCAGTGTAATCAAGTTTGTATAATATGTGAATTGAATTGGTATTGTTTTTCTGGTGAAAAATTGATTGCAGAAATTGGTTCAACATCAGCCAACTCAGTATCCAACATCTGAAGAACTGAGTATTGGTAAAATCAAGTTCAAGGCCTTTGATTTGGGAGGGCATCAGATCGCTAGCCAGGTTCTACTGAAGGTATCCACTTTGTTAATAAAATCTTAGAATATTCATTTGCACAGTATGTATCGATCATACAAACAATCATACAAACTACACAGTTATATTGTGATTTATGTGGTAGATAAACCTAAATTAATGCTAATTTTTCTTTTTTTTTTTGGTCGAATTTGACAGATTAAAACGTCAAAAGTGTTATGTTGGATTTTGTGGAAAAATGAAATTGAGTAGATTTGAGTCACTTGTTGTTGTTGAGTTGTTTTGGAGCTTGTGAAATTAAGAGTTTGAGTAATGGAATGGGTTGTTGCTTATATATCGAATGGGTTCGGGGTTACCCATCTTATAAGCGAAAACCACAATAAAATATTGGCTTATATGTGAACTTTAACATGATTAAGGTATTTATTATCTGTGCATTCTGGTTTCAAGGTTTTGTTTGTGACTTTTCATCCTACGTTGTTGTTCTTTCGAACTTTATGTGTTGAGGGGTTGATATTGTGGTTGAATTGTCAATTAATAATGTCTTGTTTCTAGCACTCATAAGTGGTTCATATACCTTACAACATTACATGGTTAACATGCATGGTGTTGCTTTTAGCATAATTATATGCTTAAACTTTCTTTGAGTATGATATTTGGCTGTTGGTCTTATTATCAACTCTTAATTGTCCCATAAATGATTTTGATAATAGTGGATTTATAATTTGTATAGCTTTAATGTCATTGCAGTTGAGATAAGAAGATGAATTTGTATTGTTATGTGGGCTATGTTGAAGTATATTATCCAAAGGGATCCTACTTGTAATGTTTTGTTCTATGTTTGGGCACGATACTTGTGCATGATGGTAGGATTTAATTGGAGTTTTGCATACTCAAGTGATCAGTCTGACAAAAGTAAAAACTTCTTATACTTTAGTGTGCCTATTTGTATGATTGTGTTTGTGTAATGTTGCTTTTGTTTACCCTATATCATAGTCCGCCTTTGTAGTTGATGAAATCTCAATAAAGAAGGTGGACTCATGGTAAAGAGGTAAAGAACTGGTGGTGCAAGGATTACTTTAATGTTAAATAATGTGATACACAGTTGGTAGATGGCTTGTTTTGTTAATTTTTTTTTTTTCTTGTAATGGAGAAAGTAGAGGAGTTTTATTGCATCTTATAGATGTGGCATTGGGTGTGCTGTATGATATGGACAGGGAGAAAGTTGCAGCTCGTGGGGGTGTTTTTGTTTTGGCATTTGTATACACTGGGGGCAGGTAGTTACGTTCAGAAGGAAGGTTGTGAGAATGAGTTCAGACGGGGACAGGAGCAGGGGCAGGAGCAAAGGTAGAAGCAAGAGTCCAGTAGATCGAAAGATTCGTAGTGAACGCCAGTCATTTTGTAGTGCACCTTATGGAGAGACCAACGTCGGGGTTTCATGGACATTGTATAACAAATCAACACTCTTAACACCAGCATCATGGACATTTTCAAGCAGCTCCTTATATGACTGAATTAGTGGACATTGTTGGTCAACCCAAACGCTGTTAATGAACAAGATACAATTTTTTCTTTTTCCTTTTTTTTTCTTTTTTTTATAGATGTAACAAAGAACATTCCTCAATCCCCTCAAACACGACGACAACCTCATTGACGGCGGTGTAGTCGGCTGCGCTGAAATCGGAGGGGTGGGTCAGAAAAGCTACAGAGAATCTTAGCCTTCTGTTCATTCAATTAAGGTACAATTTTTTTGCTTTTTTCCCTGCAATTGTGGTTATAATGTCATATTAATTGGGTTATATGTGCGGGATGAATTGGGTTACTTTTATTGGCTTAAAAAAGAGATATTTGGGATCGAACAAAGACTACTACTATTGAAATCAATTATAAAATCAAAAAAATTCAAATTATACCGCATGAATTAGATATTTGTTTAGAAATTCTTGTCTTTGTTTTTGCTTGCTTCGGTTCTTATGTCAATTCATTGACATCCAAAAGCACATCCAAAACCAGAACAAAAATAACTTGATTTGACAGCCAAAACTGTAATTCATATATTGTTAACAAACTCACTCTTAGTGTCATTAAGAAACAAACACCCTTCCTAAGGTTCCTTCCCCAATCATATGTGAACCCTCAAATAACTTGATTTTGCTGTATCACCCGACTTCTCTAGAATGGAAAAACAATTATTTAATTCCTCATAAACATCATCAACTTTATTATTAATTATGATAAAGAAAAAAAAACCTGAGAGGAACAAATGGCTGGAATGATAAATTGCCTAAAGACTCACAGGTAAGAGTGAGATGAAAGGAAGTTCAAATAGCAAAAAATCAAGAGTAGGAACAGACAATGAACGGCCTTAGGACATAGCTAGCAATATCGAAGTATGACCACTTATGGCCTGAATTTTAGGGTACGTGGAAAAAACATAATGAGTAGAAAATGAAAGAGATGACAAAGAAGAGAAATTTAGAGGCTGTGGATGAAAAGCATGAGCAGTTTTGCTTTTTTCATGCAAATTTATTGTGTATATAGGTAAATATAAATCAAATAGTTTTATCAATAGAATGTACTAAGTATTTTAGTCCGAGTTTCTTGCAGGGAAATGGTAGTAATAAGAAGTATTTTAAGATGATTTATTACTCTCTGCACTAACTCTTTGCGTTAATTCCAATGTGGGTACATGTAGCTTCAAACAATATCCGAGGATTTTGAGCTGATGCTTTCTGTGTTTATGCTTTTCTGATATTTGTAGGATTTTTGCTGCTTTGTATTTTGATTGAAGATAATCAATGCTCATAGGGCATTAAAATAATAATTTAGTTTTGAATATGTATTTTTCCTTTCTAAAATTAGGTGGGAAATTGGAAGGATAAGTATGACTTCATGTTAGCCGACATTTTGAAGCAAAATAAAGTAAATAATTCAAGCATAAGATTTGATCCTGGGGTAGGACAACTGATTCCGATAGGTTTATAGCTGATTATGAGAATGATCATATTTCTTATTGTTGGTCTGCTTTGCAAAAGTTCGAGGCAAAAGAGAAGGAGACCGAGAAGGAGGCTCTTTAGGGAGTTAAAGCTCAAAAGGGTTCAGGCTCTTCATTCTCTTGTGGAGTTTGCTGCAGAACATTAAAGCCATTTTGAGCAAGTATTCTTGATACAGTATACTGTATAATGTTGGCTTTTGATAGGAGTCTCATTTTGTGGGATAAAAAAGAAGATTCCCAAGTCACCAAGTTTGCTCTTAAAATTGGCATTAAGAAGGACCTTAGTGAGTTTTTAAGTTCCCATGGAAAATTGGAGGGTTATTTTTATGAAGATCAAGGCAGAGCATAGTTCTATTACAATGCGAACTCAAGTTTGTCATTGTAGAGGGAGAGCAAAGAGAATATCTATCAAGGTTGATATTTTTCTTCTTGTATGTTTCATTCTCTATTTTTCTATTTCTAACCGGTTATATTCTGTTGTTCGTCACTGTTATAGAAAACTAATCAATTAGATTCTCATGTGGCCAGTGACATGCATGCTACATTGAACTTGGATGATGGATTATGGGATATGATTTTGTTGAAACGGCTATCATTTTGAGTCGGAATATGCCAAAACAGAATCATATACGGCTATCCCAATTGATCTCGACAATAGTTATATGATAATTAGTAGTTAACACTGAGTTATATTCTTTGGTGTCTTTGATTTCAGGCTGTTAACCTCACAGACAAGCTTCTTCGTCTGAAGTAGAAATTCACGGAGGAGAATCAATCTGAATGACTGAACCACCCAGCAGACATGCATCATCAAAAAGATCTATGAGCCCATTGTGGACAGACAATCAAATCGTATGCAGCCTCTCTTTTTGTTAGGTTACTGTTAATTTTGCGGTTCGTAGGACTCATTGTGGTTTGAAGAACCCATAATTGAATCTGCTTCTGAGAGTAAGGATCACTTAACATCAGTCTTAAATGCAAACAGGAAGACCTGACCTTTGTCAAGAGCGATGTTAGCCATTCTACCCTTTGCGAGCTCTGTCAAGGCATGAATTCTCTTATTTGTTGATTAATTAATAATATACTCAAGCTGGATGAATCCCTCATAGCTTAGTTTTTTAAAATAGATTTTAATTGCTTTGTTAAACTGTTTCAATTATACTTGATTAAGGTAAGGTTCTGGGTTTTGGATTAGCGAAGATTAGCGAATATTGCATTGTTCAAGAATCACCTGATAAACAACACTTTCTCTTTACATACATTGTTCACCATATTTCAAATCCTTTTTTTTTTATCCACTATCATTCCCCCCCCCCCCTCCCTCCCTTTCTTTTAGAGGTTATCAAAAAATCGAGTCAGGTCGGGCCTTAAGATCATATCTTGTGCCAAATCTGCCCAAAAGCAGCGGGCTTGTCGGGCCAAAACAGGCATTTCTAGGCCGGTTTGAGTTTTTAACTTAAAAAGCGTTTCTAGGCTTGTCCAAATTCGCCCCATTTTCTGGTCGAGCTAGCGGGCCGAGCCGATGTTGATCACCTCTACTTTTTCTTCCCTTCACCTCCCTCTCCTTATTTTCTTTCCTATTTCTTTATCCAAACACAACATTGAGAGAGATCATTCAAGAAAGAAAGTAAGAAATATAACTTAACAAAAAGAGAGACACCACTTAAGAATATAAAAAAAAATTAGCTTAGGAAAAAAAAAGTTACTATATGCTATAGAGAAAGAGAGATCGAGAGACCATTTAAGAAAATTAAGGCAATTAATTTATGAAAATACAATTAGCTTAGAAAAAAGGTTTACTATAATGTTACAGAGAGATCACTTAAGATCGAAATATTACTTAAGAAACCAGGGCAACTACCTTAAGAAACTTAGGGCAATTAGCTTAGGAGAGACATAGAGATAGAGCATTTAAGAAAACCAGGGCAGTTAGCTTAGGAGAGAGATAGCACTAAAAAAGATAACTTTTAAAAAATTATGTCTGTTACCTTGGGAGGAAGGGAGAGTGGGAGAACAATTAAGAAATATTGCTTAAGAAAATCAGGGCAATTAGCTTAAGAGAAAGAGAGAGATCGCATAAGAAAGATTAATTGAGAAAATCATGACAATTAGCTTAAGAAAGAAAAAGAGAGACCACTTAAGAAATATCGGGCCGATTGACTTTAAAGATAGACCAATTAAGAAATATCACATAAAAAATATAAAATAGGGCAATTAGCTTAGGAAAACACTATTAGTTTAGGAATAGAATTATTTAAATGAGAGAGAGAGAAGAACAAATAGCTTAGGAAAAGGCTTATTAAAATGTTGGACCACTTAAGCAAATTTCTTATTAAATATCACTTGAGAGAAAGAGAGACCATGTTCGAAAAAGACCACTAGAGAGAGAGAGATCGCTTAACAAAAATCATTTGAGAGAGACCACTTAAAAAACATCGCTTAACAAAATGAGATGTACCACTTAAAAAAGATTACTTAAGAAAATCTGATAAATAGCTTAGGAAAAAAATTACTATGCTAAAGAGAGAAATAGAGAGATCACTTAATAAAGAACACTCAAGAAGAAAGAAAGATCACTCAAGAAAGACCACCGAAGAAGAAAGACCACTCAAAATGAAAGAAAGGTCAATAATAAAGATAGATCACTCAAGAAAGATCATTTATAAAGAAAGATCATTTAAGAATGAAGAAAGGTCACTTAACAAAAGAAAGATCACTGTCAAAATAGAGAAATCACTTAAGAAAGATCATTTATGAAAATCAAGGCAATTAGCTTAGAAAACAAAATTGAGGAATTTTCATAGGATAAGGATATAGTGAGAGAGAAAGAGACCCTTTAAAAAAAATCACATATGGAAATTGAATTTTTTCTAGCTAGAATCGGGCCTTATCCATCATTTTTTTTCTTTAATCTTTTATGTATCAAGTATTTGGTCTCAAGTCTCTGTTACTTGTTGATGTTATCTTTATTTTTATTGTCGATTTCTTGGTTAGGTTACCAAGAGAGGGAAAATTCACCAAGTATTTGGAATTGGAACAGGTTGGATATCCGGTTACCCAACATATATTGTACAAAATATATTTTAAAAAACAAAAATATGTTGAACGTAACTAATTAGTATTATAAAAATAAATATTATTATTTAATATAAAAAAATCCATTAATTCTTCGACCACACACAACATTCCTATGAATAAATATTCTTTCCACTAAACCATTCCAAATCCAGCCACAATAGCAAACTCAAATTGGTATAAACATATTATCAATAGGAAAACCCTCAAGAACAAAATCCAATGGCAAAGTCTACAAAAATAAATAGCGATGTACACATTACTTTATATATACCAATGTACACATTAGTTTAAAAATTGATTTATACATACCAATGCAATATTCGGAATAAAGGCATATTAGCTATGTGCTTTAAACAAGATGTAAGATTTCTAAAATTAATTACTTATAACTAATGTATAATTACAAATACATCAAATAATTATTTCATAATTACACTCTAATTAATACCGATAACTTAAGGAACCGGGTCCACAACTAGTTATGATAAAAGTGCTACTTCGAATATAAGAAGAAAAAAAGGACAAAGTAAAAGAAATAAAGTTGAATATTCAAACATATGCGAATAACCTTACAATTTACTCCTTTGAATTGATTGTATGATTCAATAATTGCATAAGTTGATGTGGTTCCAGTTCATTTGATGGAAAGCAACAGGAAGCTGCTAATTTCTACTCCACACACTTAATATTCACATGTCAATTTACACCGTCCAATAACGAAGTGAGCCCCAGCAGTAAACAAGTGGAGCTGATTATATATGTTTGGTAGTGGTGAAGTACATACTCCTTATTCATTCAACACTACTCAATAATTATTCCTTATTCAAATTACAGCTTCCTTCTAAATCTTCCCATCTCTTCTTTCTCATCTCTTTCAAATCCCTAATGGAAGACCTCGGAATCACTGTTGTTGGAAACCTCATTGAAGTTATTGGGTCTGCGATCATCAAAGAGATTTGTGAAATGTGGGGATACAAATCTGAACTCGAAGACCTCAACAAAACTGTCTCAACCATCCACTTTGTTAATAAAATCTTAGAATATTCATTTGCACAGTATGTATCGATCATACAAACAATCATACAAACTACACAGTTATATTGTGATTTATGTGGTAGATAAACCTAAATTAATGCTAATTTTTCTTTTTTTTTTTGGTCGAATTTGACAGATTAAAACGTCAAAAGTGTTATGTTGGATTTTGTGGAAAAATGAAATTGAGTAGATTTGAGTCACTTGTTGTTGTTGAGTTGTTTTGGAGCTTGTGAAATTAAGAGTTTGAGTAATGGAATGGGTTGTTGCTTATATATCGAATGGGTTCGGGGTTACCCATCTTATAAGCGAAAACCACAATAAAATAATGGCTTATATGTGAACTTTAACATGATTAAGGTATTTATTATCTGTGCATTCTGGTTTCAAGGTTTTGTTTGTGACTTTTCATCCTACGTTGTTGTTCTTTCGAACTTTATGTGTTGAGGGGTTGATATTGTGGTTGAATTGTCAATTAATAATGTCTTGTTTCTAGCACTCATAAGTGGTTCATATACCTTACAACATTACATGGTTAACATGCATGGTGTTGCTTTTAGCATAATTATATGCTTAAACTTTCTTTGAGTATGATATTTGGCTGTTGGTCTTATTATCAACTCTTAATTGTCCCATAAATGATTTTGATAATAGTGGATTTATAATTTGTATAGCTTTAATGTCATTGCAGTTGAGATAAGAAGATGAATTTGTATTGTTATGTGGGCTATGTTGAAGTATATTATCCAAAGGGATCCTACTTGTAATGTTTTGTTCTATGTTTGGGCACGATACTTGTGCATGATGGTAGGATTTAATTGGAGTTTTGCATACTCAAGTGATCAGTCTGACAAAAGTAAAAACTTCTTATACTTTAGTGTGCCTATTTGTATGATTGTGTTTGTGTAATGTTGCTTTTGTTTACCCTATATCATAGTCCGCCTTTGTAGTTGATGAAATCTCAATAAAGAAGGTGGACTCATGGTAAAGAGGTAAAGAACTGGTGGTGCAAGGATTACTTTAATGTTAAATAATGTGATACACAGTTGGTAGATGGCTTGTTTTGTTAATTTTTTTTTTTTCTTGTAATGGAGAAAGTAGAGGAGTTTTATTGCATCTTATAGATGTGGCATTGGGTGTGCTGTATGATATGGACAGGGAGAAAGTTGCAGCTCGTGGGGGTGTTTTTGTTTTGGCATTTGTATACACTGGGGGCAGGTAGTTACGTTCAGAAGGAAGGTTGTGAGAATGAGTTCAGACGGGGACAGGAGCAGGGGCAGGAGCAAAGGTAGAAGCAAGAGTCCAGTAGATCGAAAGATTCGTAGTGAACGCCAGTCATTTTGTAGTGCACCTTATGGAGAGACCAACGTCGGGGTTTCATGGACATTGTATAACAAATCAACACTCTTAACACCAGCATCATGGACATTTTCAAGCAGCTCCTTATATGACTGAATTAGTGGACATTGTTGGTCAACCCAAACGCTGTTAATGAACAAGATACAATTTTTTCTTTTTCCTTTTTTTTTTCTTTTTTTTATAGATGTAACAAAGAACATTCCTCAATCCCCTCAAACACGACGACAACCTCATTGACGGCGGTGTAGTCGGCTGCGCTGAAATCGGAGGGGTGGGTCAGAAAAGCTACAGAGAATCTTAGCCTTCTGTTCATTCAATTAAGGTACAATTTTTTTGCTTTTTTCCCTGCAATTGTGGTTATAATGTCATATTAATTGGGTTATATGTGCGGGATGAATTGGGTTACTTTTATTGGCTTAAAAAAGAGATATTTGGGATCGAACAAAGACTACTACTATTGAAATCAATTATAAAATCAAAAAAATTCAAATTATACCGCATGAATTAGATATTTGTTTAGAAATTCTTGTCTTTGTTTTTGCTTGCTTCGGTTCTTATGTCAATTCATTGACATCCAAAAGCACATCCAAAACCAGAACAAAAATAACTTGATATTAAGGAGCAGTTGGATACTATTGTCAGTAACCATCACAAATTTGGGCTTAGTGTTGACTATAAGCCTATTTGTAGAAGGAGGGAGGAAACTTGTTCCTACGTGAATGCACATAAAATTATAGGGAGGGAGAAAGATAAACAGATTGTCATTGATATGCTGTTTGGTCCCAATGATATTCGTGAAAGTTTCCGCTTTGTGACTATTGTGGGAGTTGGAGGTTTGGGTTAAACTGCTCTTGCCCAGCTTGTGTATAACGATGAAAGGGTTCAAGCAGAGTTTGTGGATCCCAAGTTAAGGCTGTGGGTTTGTGTATCTGATCAAGATGGAGTGTCGTTTGATGTCAAGGTCATTCTTTGTAAGATTCTAGAGTTAGTTTCTGGTAAAAGGCCTGATGATACCTCCTCACTGGAATTGGTGCAAAACCAATTTCAAGAGCAGTTAAGAGGAAAGAAGTACTTGCTTGTTCTTGATGATGTATGGAATGAAGATTGTGAGAAATGGCGTGGGCTGCGTGAGTTCTTAACGCTGGGTCAAGAGGGTAGTCGAATTGTGGTGACTACACGAGCGGAGATTACTGCAAAGATTATTGGAGAAAAACATACGCACAAGCTGCAAGGTTTATCTGAAGAGAATTCGTGGCTCTTGTTCGAGTCTGTAGCATTTGATGAAGGGGAACACCAGCACGCAAGTCATCCTGATTTGGTTGATATTGGGAAGAAGATTGTTGAAAAATGCTTTAACATCCCATTGGCCATAAAGGTGGTAGGAAGCCTTCTATTTGGGCAGCCTGTGGATAAGTGGCAGACATTTGAGCACAGCGGATTAGCTGGAATTGGAAATGGTGATAATGAAATTATGTCCATACTAAAGCTTAGTTACCACAACCTTATACCCTCTTTGAAGAATTGTTTTAGCTATTGTGCACTGTTTCCCAAAGATTATAGATTCAAGAGGGAGGAGTTGATTAGCCTTTGGATAGCACAAGGCTACATTGCGTCGCTGGACAGAGATCAAAGCATAGAAGATGCAGCAGAGGAGCATTTCCTGATTTTGGTACGCAGATGTTTCTTTCAGGATGTAGAGAATGATAGATATGGTGACATTGAGTACGTGAAAATGCATGACTTGATGCATGATGTTGCTCTAGAAGTGGGGAGGGAGGAAATTGGTGTAGTGAGTTCTAATACAAACAAATTGGGAGATAAAGTTCGTCATGTGTATTCTGCTGGTGGTACTTTTTCACAAAGTTACTCATTGAAGAGTAAGATACGTTCGTTGATTTATAGGGGTGTTCATCGCGTGTTGGGTGATCCGGTGGATGCACAGATAGACAGTTGGATGTGTGTAAGGGTGTTGGTTTTGCGGAATGCGGGTATAGTACGGTTGCCTGATTCAATTGGTAAGCTACTGCATTTAAGGTATCTTAACTTGTCTGAGAATCTTCGGTTACAGGCACTCTCTGATTCTATTACTAGACTACATAATCTGCAGACTTTAGTTTTAAAAATTGCCTGGGTTTGAGGGAGTTGCCAAAAGATTTTAGCAAATTGGTAAAACTTAGGTACTTGGATTTAAGAAGTTGTTTTGACTTGAGTGGTATGCCTTCAGGCATGGATAAATTGATAAGTCTTAGGTACTTGGATATAAGTGATTGTACAGAGCTGAGTAGTTTGCCTTCCAGCATGGATAAATTGACTAATCTTAGGCACTTTGATTTAAGTTGGTGTGATAAGTTAACTAGTATGCCATCAGGCATGGGTAAGTTGACTAATCTTAGGGTGCTACCATGGTTTGTGGTGGGTATGGAAAAGAGAGTTTCAACAGAGGAGCATTGTATGGGAGAGCTCAAAGACCTTATACCCCTGACCAACTTGAAAGGTGGCATAGTGATCCAAATCGGCGAATTTTACAAGAATGATGGAGGAGAAGAGTATTTGAAGGGTTTGAAATATCTCACTCAGGTTCATATAAGTTTTCGTGACAATGCTGATGGATGTTTAGAATGGGAAGATGTGATGGAAAAGCTAGAGCCACCTTCAAATCTCAAGATATTCAGGTTGTGGTACGACAATTCCAAGGTGGGGTAGAGCACTGGATAACTGGGCACTCTCCCTCCCACTTCTTGTCGAGATCAGGCTTTCTTACTGTTACAATTTGGAGCAGATACCATCGTTGAGTAAACTGCGTAATCTGAAATCACTAAGACTTGATTCACTACACAAGCTGGAATATATGGAGAATACAAGCAGCAACAATGCCAATGACGGAGAAGATGTAACGGCATTCTTCCCCTCCCTTGAGTCTCTTAGTATTAATGATCTTACAAGTATGAAAGGATGGTGGAGGGAGGAGGATGATGATGAGCGTATCTTGAGGAGTAGCTTCACATTTTCCCGTCTTTCCAAATTGGAAATCAGTTATTGCCCTAAGTTAACTTCGTTTCCTTCCTGTGGAAGCCTCGAAGATTTGGGCTTGAATGAGGTTGACTGTTTTGGAAATTCACAAGGTGACGTCATATTAAGGGAGCTGCTTATAGATGACGTGGGTCTTCCCAACTTAATAAACTCTCCAGTCAATAAACTCAACATATGCGGGAATAAGGTGGAGAGTTTATCAGAATATGGGGATGTATTCCGGAAATACAAATACGCTTCTTACATAAGAAGCCTTCAAATTTTTAGTTGCTCAAATTTGAGGAGACTTGGAAGAGGGGGGTTGGAGCATCTCACTGCCTTGGAGTCATTAGTGTTTGCATTCAATGATCAACTTAGCTTCTCTGAAGACGAGGTCGATGACGATGGCATGCCATGGAAATCCCTTCAACACTGTCTCCGTTCCCTGTATATTCGTGATTGCAAGGCCATAAAGTCACTCCCTGAATCAATCCGGAACCTCACCTCCCTTCAGAAACTTCAGATAATTCATGGATGTCCAGAACTAGAAGAAAGATGCGAAGAACCAGATGGGGAAGACTGGCCCAAGATTCAACACATCCCCAACATAATAATATATCGATAGTGTCAATCTGAGTAATATATAGCTCTGATCATCGGGGTCCTCAACCTTCAGGTTAGAATTCTGAGTCACTTTTCTGTTTAGTTTTGAAGCACTACGTGTTGTTTTCCATTGATCCATCTATGCTTGTATGCTTGTGCAGAATATACTACTTATATAGTGTACTAGTAATTAATTGCAGGTCAAAGCTTAAGTAAAATTGTTATTCTTGTTGGATGAAGTTGAGATCGAACTTTCAGTTTCAAATTAAAAGGTGTTTTGATTATTTGTATTCTTGATTTTTAGAAGATTTTATTTCTGAGTGGATGGTGTACAATCTTAATATATTTTGGCTTGTTTGTCCTTTGCCTGACAATTGACTTGCCTATGAACCCTCTTATAATTCTATAATGTCCAGGTACTTGTTCATAGGATGAACTTGATGTGGAGGAGTCAACCAATTCTCAAGTCTCTCTGACTATTACAAACCAACGGCAAGCGCCCATTTCATCTGTGGGATGTTGATTAAGATTTACGATGTAGCTACGGTCGGTCTTCTGGAAGCTGCATAGAAGGTTGCTGCTGTGAAGATTCAACGTGGAAGACTGCAAGACTTGTTTTGAGAGACTGAATTTGAAAAACTATCTTTCAAGGACTTGGGATCATGTAAATACTTCATAGTCTGCGCCTCTGCTGTGCATGTTGATTTTAAATAATGTATTCTGAAAGAAAAATATACAGATGACTCTTTTAGACATATAAGCACGGCAATGTAGCATAAAGTATCGTTTGTACCTCAATTTTCTCCTTAACAGAGTAGAGTATCATTGAATGAAAAACTGTGAGTTTATATAATAGTGAGATTATTTCCTAAAATACTTGTGTTGCAATGTTACATACATTTTGTCACGAAAGGTTTGGTCATTAGTTCATCAAAAATCTTGTATGAGTATCGTTTTGAGTTAACAATGTTCTCACTTTCAAGAGTAGAGATCGAAGTCATCGAACAACCATTTTAACAAAAAGTATTACAGGGGGGGCTGATGATGTTGCTTGCTCAGAACAAACTAAATCCACCCAATGTAGCCATTTTCAAGCTGCAGACTAGGAGGATAAGAAGTCAAGAAGGAAAGAGCAATTATTGGAAGCTGAAAATTATAACATCCAAAGTCCCAGTATAATAGTGGAATGCAGTAAGAAACGATACAGAAAATAGGGGTAATAAAGTAATATGGGTCATATATTACAGAACGGCTAAAGGGAGCGTAATCATTATTTCGAAATGGAGTACTCATATCAGTCATATGGAAAGGAGAAAACTTTATACACAGCTGTCAGTGAGTTCAGTTCTGCACTTTGGCTGTGCTAATAACATCAATAAACCGGTAAGTTTGTGAAACCTAAAAAATGAAGTATGGCAGTTCCAAATTTACACAGATGAAGCTGAATCAATTGAAGTCGTCACCAGGCAAACAAAACACCTGACTGTTTCAGCAACAGATCATTCTGACATGCTACGTAATAGGAAGTACTTGAAATTGGAAGAGTGCAATCCTCCAAAGAATTGTGATGCAGAGTCTTGGGTCTTCTTTGGAGACGGAACCTTTAGCTTCAGCATGCTCAGCATAAGATGCATAAGCTTTGATAATAGACACATATATGTCGACTCCTTTTAGATACTCAGCTTCATTTAAAAACTACAACAAGGAAAATGTGTCAGAAATATCGAGTATTCCTTTTGCTTGTAAAGGAGACCATAAGACATACTCCTAGAAGTTAGTAGGATTCATGATTGCTAAACGCAACTGATAAGCCAGCCTTGGATTCCAAAACAGAACCCAACAGATTGAAAGAAAGGCAAGAATTGGTGAGTTTTTATCCTAGCAGCCTAGCACATTGAGAACGTTCGAAATGTTAAAACTTTAACTGCTTTTCTAGTGTCTGATATCTACTGGGTGCACCAGAAATATGTCATCTTACATTTTACTATAAGGTGTAACTCATTATTCCTAAACTAGTGGATACGCTAGAACCCATGTCTGTATACTCCTCTTATAGGATATGATTTCCCATAATTGTGTGTGTGAGGGAGTAAAAATCAATTTTGGAGTGTAAAAATCAACTCCCTCTTGTATTTGTATTGTATTGGCATAAGTGAATCCTATAAACCCACCCACTGGCTTACTGCTCACAGGACCTTCAACAAAAAGAGATAATGAAGTATATTCCATCAATGAGAACACTAGAATTATAAGTTGGTAAGATTAATTCCATCCCGGCCACAGCCAGGGTTCAAATATAGTGACCATTTTCCTTCCCGATTGAGCTATGTAGAGAGTGCGTGGTGGCAGTTGGATCTAATTCTTTTGAGTATAGAAGCCCCTCCAGCACTAACCCCCTAAAAACCAGAGTACCAGATTATGAGATGGAGATAGTTTGTCACCCTTCCCACTCAAATACATACAGATGTCAAACAGACCGCGCCCATAATAAGATTATAAGAGAATTAAAGAGGAGAAGCTCAGAACAAAGTATCATGAGAATTTAAACCTCTTACACATAAAACTAAATTCACCCAATGTAGCCATTTTTCAAGCAGCATCCTAGGAGGATAAGAAGGAAAGAGCAATTATTGGAAACTGAAAATTGTAACATCCAAAGTCCCAGTATAGTGGAATGCAGTAAGAAACGATAAAGAAAACGGGGGTAATAAAATAATGAGTCATATATTACAGAACGGCTAAAGGGAGTGTAATTGTTATTTTGAAATGGAGTATATCAGTCATATGTCAAGGAGAAAACTTTATACACAGCTGTCAGTGAGTGTAGTTCTTGCAACAGATCAATTCTGACATGCTATGTAATAGGAAGTACGAGTACAACTAGACAAAAGTAGATTAGGTCCATGCAATGCAAGGAAGAGAATAAGAATCAAGGCAAGAATATTCTGTACCTCATTGTGGTCATGTAGTAGAATTGGAGTATTTGCATAGGAGAGAAACCTATAGCAGGTAGACCTTGTCGCCTAAAGTAACGACAATCTGTAGAAGCAGGGAAATTTTCTGGCTTTTCAAGCTCTCCACCAGCACTGCGAACAGCCTCTTCTAAAAGGGCCCACCAGGGGTTCGAATTGTCAGAGCAGTGACAGCTGGGTTACCGAAGTTGTCAAGCACAGATTGCTTCTGCTTAAACTGCCCATACTACACATATGACATATATTAGTCAACTGGCATAAGGAAGATAAAATCAGATAATTACACTATTTCATCTTCCATATCCTTGGCCTTGTTTGGAAAAGAGAAAATGATAATAGACATCATTAGTAATATAAACACAATAGCACATGGCATTACTTTATTCAGCTAACAGATAACAGCAGTAGATTCTGTAGAAAATGTTCTGCAAGTAGCCATATAATTAACAAGTACTACTACATAAAATTTTAAGCATGTAAAATATCATACAAGATAATAAACGTACATAATTGTAGGTTGAGCATGGCATAATTTTTTGAGGAAGAAGCAAGTCAAACTTTTGAGTACCTTTTCATCAGAATATATATAGTAATTTTACTAACATTAGGCAAATTTGTCTCTGCACTTTGAAATCACAGTCTAAGCCATAGAAATGCTGAAAGGAACAGCATTTTGGAAATTTTTATTAAGTTTGGTACAGTCAATTAACAACAGCATATTTAGTTGGTCAGATTCACTGTAGTGATTCAAATCTACTTCAATTATCGAATCTACGATTGGCTAGAGAACCCTAATACAACTGTAGCATCTACAGTATAAGTTGGGCAACTTAGGAAATCTAATTCGGTCATTTGATTTACTCTCAATGGATTCTAAATCTAGAATTGTTGAGAAGTGTGAATTTTTCCATTTGTATGTCCTTAATACACTACATTCAGGGGAGTTTGAAATTAGGAAGAATAATCTAGAGGACAAATATTGAATTTCATCTCTTCCCATGCTATGATTGTTGAGTGTAAGCATTCTAAGAACCAAAAGGATGGATAAACTAGAACAAGCATTTGCAATCATCAAAGAAAATCTCATTTTTCCTCCAACTTCCTTCGATGAAGACTGCGTAGAGGAAGAACCCAAAGTCACCATCCCCGCAGGCATTTATTAATCATAGCTCACGACTCATGGCTATCTAAGTGACTAGTCATCAAATTGTTGGGAATATTAATGAGATTTTGTCAAACTAATAAACATAAAATACACATCACATATAATTCTTCAAGGAATTGGGAGGGGAAGGGGCACTAGGTTGGGAATATTATATGATTATCACGTAAACTGATAGAAGAGTCCTTTAGACAAGAAATTTTAACCTCAAATGTCATGTTACGTGAAGCAGGAGCCCACTCCTCAGCGATACGCCTTACAAGGGCTTCTTGATCAGCTGTTGGTGGAACCCGAGTTTCAAACCTGCTTCAGCTTCAGAAGGTTGCAAGTTCATGAAAAAACCCTTAAAGAAAAAAAATCTCCATGTTAGAACTTAAACTAAGGCATAAGACATCATCATCACTCATCCTACTATCAAGTACCATATTGATAATTAACCATTATCTGTCCTATCTCCCTGACCTTCACCAGAAATCAGGTCCTGGAACAAGCATGATTCAACAAGCAAATTGATAACTGGGATGAAAAGGCAACCTTTGCTGTGTACAATTGGTACATAACTGAAAGTCTCACTATGAGCTAACAGGCATGATTCCAACATGGTGGAGAAAGTCACCTATTTGTTTTCAAACAGATTATGTAACTTTATGTCTACTTTTAACATTTTCCTAGATTGGCACTAATAGTTTCTACCACACGTTTCTTTGCTCAATCCAAAGCTTTAAGAAATGAAGAAAGAAGATAAGAGGACAACAGGACTCGAGAGCAGAACGAAATATGCAACATGGAAGCTGCTTCTACTACTGACTACAGTACATAAAGCCTGGAGAAAATCAGGGCAGAGACTTACAGTTGGAGTTTGAGTGCCAGCTTTCAGAAACGCCATATTCACCGAAACCACTTCTCCTTCAGCTTTCAAGCCAGACTTTACCATATCAAATTGCGACGCTCGAAATCTTCTTATGATCTCAATACTCTAACAAATTCTCCATTGCTGTATTATCATACAACTTAGCGTCAAGTCCAGGAGCTCCTGTAGCCTTGACCACAGTCCACATCGGTGATCTCTCTGCATAAAATGCCCGGTACTTCTCTCCTGGTGATGCAAGTCCCTCATCCAGAACAAAGGCCACATTCATTTTTTTATATAAATCAGACTCAGCCAATTTTTCCACCCCATCATGCCCTCCAATCTCTTCATCCGGCACAAAGGTCAAATAAATGGTACGAGTGGGCTCAAACCCAGAATCCTTCAGCTTCCGAATAGCTTCCAAATACTGTTAACCCACACATTTCATATCCTACACAGCCAACAAAAGTCCCACGCAAGATAATCAGCCATCTACAGAGTATACAACAACAATACCTATGCACCTTCATAAGCTCCCATCCTTAACAAGTTTAAGGAGTGACATGTACACAGCTTTACCCTATGATTATAAAGACTTAAAGAGGCGATATTCAATTGCCAATACAGATATACAGATATGCAGCAGGTTATTGTTACCTTACAACAAATTCTACATGCAGTATAACCATTATTAATCAAAGGACAAAATTTTTGACTTCACAACTATTCGGCTTGCAAGTATTTCATCACAATTCATAGCCATAAAAGAATGACTAAAAAACAAGATACATCATCTTGGACTTGGCAAATTTCAATTCTATTACAATAAACAGATTTTCATTGCAAAATACAGTACTTTCTCTACTACCCACCTCTTCCTATATCAAATA